CACTTTTTGAAAATCAAATCCGTCCGAATAGAATGTCAGATTTTGCCACTTGTCTAGGGGGCAGATCAATTCGGGTGATATCGGTTGCTATAGTGAGTGTGTGATTGAATAGCGAAAATTAAATTAGTTTACTTGCTGCGTAATCTGACTGAACTGCATGCATCATGTCACTAGACCATCAGTGAAAAAAAGATCCCCTTTTTATTTGGCAATATTTCGACATTAACAGATGTTTACTATTTATGTATTCGCCATTAGAGTGCCTTTTTGTTGTTTAAATTCAAAGTTGTAATTAGGTACTATATTATGTTATTGTATTGTGTAAAGTTCACGGGTTGCTTACATTATAATATTATGCATGCTGTGGTTATCGTTTGTGTGGGAGCAGTTAGCTAGAGACCTTTGGCTTAATTTTTTTAATTGTGTATAATACTGTATCTCATGTTGATAGCCCAATAAAATAAATAAATAAATAAATAGACCTGAAAAAGTAATTAGTTTTTTGAAAGGCCTTAATATGGATTTTTTGTAACTTTTTGGACTTTAAATAAAAGCCGTCATTGCTATAAGCCATTTTATTGATATTTACCTCAAAGATTAATGTATTCCATTTTATTCATAGGAAATTGTCGTAGTTTTTTAATATCCGGTATCTGGCCGGATAGTGAGTTACTATCCGGTATTCGGCCGGATAGTAAATTTAGGCCGGATATCCGGCCTACCGGATAGTTACCGGATATCCGTTTCACTAATTTATACTGATCTGTTTAAAATATTGTAATGTCATTCCAAGTGATGAAGTTGTAAATGTATGTTAACATTTCTAAGAACTTTATGATTTTTAAAGGATTTCCTTTTTAACCCTTCCAATTTCGTATGTGGTATGAACGTAACAAACTGACAGTTTTTGTGTCCAATATTTTTTTCCTATCTAAAAATGGTTAAAACATTTTCATAACGATGGCGCCAATTTGACTTATACAGCATTTTGTTCCTAAAGTGAGATATTTCGGTTTAAAATAATGATTCTTCTTCTTCTTGTCGTGTCGACAACAAACCTATACAGTATCAGCCCAAAACTCCGATACAAGAGTGGCGTTGTCAGCAGCATTCATTAAATCTTCCTGCGTGCAGTTGTTTGGGAACGCAGGGCACGACATCATGTGCTTATAAAAATCGCTGATTTTAATTAAAGGTTGTCATAATAATTAATGATGCATGGAAATTATTGCATGTCAGAATATCTAATTGACTAAAAATATTCCTATTAATGAAAAGTTTAAAGTCAAAGTCAAAATTTCTTTATTTGTTTAGACTAATAAATAGTTCTTACAAATCGTCATTTTGCTCTTAAAGAGCCTCTACATGTCTCATAATCTTTTTACCCTACCAGCGCTTCGACACCAACATTTGGCAAGTGCTGAGAAGAAGCGCCGCAACAAACTCAGTCACCACTGTCTGTCGGTTAATATAAATAAATAGAAATAGCAGTAGTAGGTACATTCGATTCAGGAGCAGTTCACTGAATTTACCATGCATTCTTGTATGGTGTATCTTATAAGAATGGGTATACAAAATTGCGTGGTATATTAAACAAGGTAGTGACGTGCTAATATCTAGACTTACAGATTAAGATACTTAAATACTAGTAGAAATGACTCGCATAGGTACATAAATTTGAATAACTTGGATTGACCACGAGTAACAGTCTATTCAAAATGTAGGTACTCTGTAATTTTCACCCTCGCTTCATAATAAGCGAGTAAATGAAGATATTTTCTTGTTTATTCTGCTCAAAAGATGAGAAATTCCTATACAATTAGTTAATTAACTTCTGACGCTCAGAATTTGCTGTAATTTTGTCAAAGTTAATAGCTCGCTCATAATAACGACTTAAAATCGTTACAATATTAATAAAGGAATTGTGGTTTACGGAAGTTTAATTATCCGATGTTTTTGTGACCTATTAATGTATTTATCGCCTTTCGTTTGGTTATTCTAATTTCGTCCACTGCTGGACAAAGGCCTTCTTCACGAATTTCTACAAGGGCAGGTCCTGTGCTACCCGCATTCAGGTGCAACCCGGAACCTTTACCAGATCGTCAGTACGAACCCGTTTTCAAAATCAATCCATAATTTTTAAGTGACCCTTTTGAAAACAAAATTCCTTTAAAGTGTTACCATAAGGTTCCGGGTTGCGCCTTAATGCGGGCAGCGCAAGTCCAAACCCTTGTAGAAATTCAAGCCCTTGTGGAATGGACTGTCGTCTGCGGTGTTTCCGGACGGATACGACCTGCAAGCTTTCAAGAGGAGAGCGTATCTTTACCTTAAAGGCCGGCAACGCACCTGTAACGCTCCTGGGTCTGCGGGTGTCTATGGGCGACGGTAATCACTTACCATCAGGTGATCTGTCTGCTCGTTTGCCTCCTGTCACATAAAAAAAAATCGTAGAAAAGGCCTTAGCCCAGCAGGAGATTTATCTAAGTTGAAAAAAATATCAATTATTATGTATCAAAATCCTCCACTTGTTAAAAAAATAAGTGCTCAGCCCATTTTAAGACTAGCAGAAAATGCCTCACAGAGTCCACCTTTTTAACACTTAAATAGGTACTTAGCTAACACTTGCGAGTAAAAAACTTAAAAGTCCGTCATTAAAATTATATTGTTTCTAATGTTTTAAAACTACTTCCCCGTTCTGTAAGTTTGTGTGAACAGCAAAATAATTTACACCTACGGTATTGACGCAATGTTCCTGCAAAAAAACTGTTTACACCTACGGTATTGACGCAGTGTTCCTGTAACACCCCTAAAGCGTGCATTACTAAAACACAAACAGAACAAGACTTAACCTGAAAATGCCGGCTTTTAAACTTCCAAATGAATGCTCGGGACGGCTCAAAACACTCGGCTCTTTAATATCTTAATTACTGTAAAACGTACTGGCTTTTACCATTCGGGTGCGGACCCAGTAACAAGCCGAGTCAAGTTTATGCACCGTAAATTCTGAAACGATATAAGCAGAAAGAAGGAACTAACTAGGACTACGTAGTGGACCGATGATCTAGTAAAGGTCGCGGAAAGCACGCACGCACGCAAGATGTTGTGGAAGTCTTTGGAATACTTTGTCCAGCAAGTATATAATTTGGTTAAAACCGGGCAGATTGTAACTGCATCTCACTTAACGCCAAGTGCGATTGCGGTCAAATACCTGCCTTGACACGATCGGGGATTCTAAAAAACTTGTAGGTAATAAAGTTTTTTTTTTGTACAGATCAGGTGTCTCCAAACTACGGCCCGCCACTGCCATCAATCCGGCCCGCGACAGCTTAAACTAAGCCTAAGATGTTGGCATAGGTGAGCAGAAAAATTAAATTTTTTATGGCCCTTGCAACATACCACACCGAAAAAAATATTATGGCTTGGGGCCATAAAAGGCTTCTAAGTTTCATTGGTTTCATCATCCATTAGTCTATCATTTTCTTAAGTTTGGCAAGCTCATTATATGACATCTTGTATAAATACCGCTTAGCTTCAGCTAAATCAGCGCCTGCAGACCGCCATCTGCACGCGTTGCTTTGGCTGAATCTTTAAAAAGTCATGAACCACTCGCTTAAAACCGTCACCCGCTCTGCTTATCGCTACGCTCAACAAACAACCATCCCATTTCAATTTTTAGCTCTAAGCATTTTGAGGCATAAACGGCTTTCCGCGCCCTACAATTCTGCTAAGGCATGTAGTGGAACCGCCTTCAATGGTCGAAATAAGAAAATATTTTGTACATAAACGAGCTTTTCAATTTTAAAAGCAAAGCGAGAAATAATGATGCTGAAGGACTTAGCACTAGGAAGTGCGATGTACATAAATCGAAATGTAAAATTCCAACTATCGAATTAATTCAACCACAGGTCAAATCACTGGATAGAATTTTTTTTCTTTCTTCCAGCAACTGGGCCCAAGATTAAGATTCTAGAGTAGAAGCTAAAACTGGCCCCTTTCGTTAGTACCGGCACCATTCATAAAAACAATTTACCTGTGTAATTAAATCAAGAATTAAATTAGCATATCTTAGCTGTCTACAATGTTGACTAGTTAACATGACAATATACTTAAAAGGTACATTGTAATAATAATATTAAAACACAATGTCTGTAATCAAAAAATTTACACGTAACACAAAATTGTTAAGGAACAATGATATTCTGTATTGTACCGATTAATTTATCTTAAAAAGCGTACAAAATTCTTAAAGTAACCAGAAGGTTCTTGTAAACAATAGTTTTTTGGTGTATAATTAATAATGTGCGTCATTAGACGCAAGGAAAAACAGTAGCAAAAACCGGCCAAGTGCGAGTCGGACTCGCGCACGAGGGATTCCGTACGACAATTTTGTTGTTGTATGTCCCTCTTAAATATTTGTAATTGCCTAGCTATCACGGTTCATGAGATACAGCCTGGTCACAGACAAAAAGACAGCGAAGTCTTGGGCTGGGTTGCACCATCTTATTTTGACTTTAACAACCGCAAAAAATCTGTCAAACTCTGTAAAACTAAAGCATCGGTAAAAGTTAGGTGGTGCAACTCAGCCTTAGTAATAGGGCCCCGTTTGAATACGGATCACTAAAAATGCTGTTTTGCATCTTTAGAATCACACGTGTTTTCTGTAGGTAGTGAGTGCGTCATGTTATAACCCAAAAGATTATTCCTAGTTTAATCTCTTCTTTAAATAAAAATTCTGTGCCAAAAATTCCTTGCAGGAAAAGCTAGCAGAATCCAATGGGGATGTTGCCTGGGTCAAAAAGCAAGAGTTTTAATTAGTCCGTCAGTTAACTTATCAAAAAATACTCTACATACCTAGTGTGTAATAATATTATGCTTATCATTATATCAACTTGTCATTCAAATTAAGTACCTTGTAAACAATCTAAATTAACATGACTCTGCAGAACTTATTATCATTATTAGCCACTTCATAAACAAAGTGATTTCCTCATTACGCTATTTTATTATACCAGAGTAGTGAAGATTACCGTAGAACCATGTCGTGTCTGTTATTTGCGTGTTTTGCAAGTGTTTTGTTTGTCAATAATGTTGTCGAAGCTTCCAGAATTCTTGCTTACTATCCAACACCATCTATAAGTCATCAAGTAGTTTTCAGACCTCTCAGTCTGGAACTAGCTAGAAGAGGACATGAAGTAGTCGTCATAACCCCAGATCCTATGTTCCCAAATGGAACTGCACCAGAAAATCTAACAGAAATAGATGTGCATGATCTCTCATACAATACATGGAGAAAGTTGATTCAGAAATATGAAAACAAGATGGTAATCAGTCAATTTGCGTCAATGTTTAAATCAATGATATCATTAATGGAAGAGCAGGTTAAGACAGATCCCGTGCAAAAGATACTTAAAGATCCAAGACCGTTTGATCTGATAATCGTTGAAGCGATAGCGGAGTGTACTTTAGGTCTGTCCCACATATACAAAGCACCAGTAATTCAGTTTAGTTCATTAGCTAGCACTACGATACCATTGCAAATGTTTGGTGCTACTACACATCCGCTTCTTTATCCTACATTTTTTCATCATCGAATCTACAATCTCACCTTGCGAGAGAAACTCAACGAACTCTACGATGAACACGTTTACAATGCGTTGTTTCCAGAAGTAGAAGAATTTTGTTTGGATATGATGAAACGTGTGTTTAGCCCAGATGTTCCGACATTGGGAGAATTAAGAAAGAATGTGGATCTGTATTTTCTAAATGTTCATCCTTTGTGGGATTTCAATCGTCCAGTGCCCCCAAATGTGGTGTACCTTGGTGGGATGCATCAGAAGCCAGCAAAAGATCTGCCAAAGGTAATTGTTAATTATTTTAAATTGTAAACTTATTTCAAGTTAGTAACTTTATTTATGTGGCATATTTTTAAATATACGTACTATTTAATCTCAATTTCTATTTCAGGACCTACAAAATTACTTAGACTCTTCTAAAAATGGAGTCATATACGTCAGTTTTGGTTCAAACGTAGAACCAGCATTGTTCCCGCCCGAAAAAATACAAACGCTAGTGGACGTATTCTCAAAATTGCCATACGATATTTTATGGAAATGGAACCAAGACGAACTACCTGGACGCACTCCAAATATTAGAATTTCAAAATGGTTTCCACAACCTGATCTTCTGAGTAAGTATTCAAAATCCAAACTTTATTTGCTAACTGTAATTTGTAATTTGGCGTAGTTCCCTAGACAATATTCATAATTATTATCATATTAATTTAAGTTGACTTAACCAGGTCACAGGTCAAAATGACTTCGTCTTAGACCAAAGTATTGTATGTGTTTAATTCGGTGTAAATTAGAAACATCAAATCTACAAGATTTTTCATAATATTAAAATGATTTAAATGCTAGCACTTAATTAGCAATATCAATAATAAATAAACTAGTGTCTTTTTAACAATAAAAAAGTACCTAACGTGCACCGACTGATGTGACTATAAATTAATAGTTGTGTACTCGTACATCATCAGTAACAAGTAAAGGACCAAATCCTTATTACACGATTTTAAACTTTCGCTTCTGCTTGTGATCACGGCTGCAGCATTGCAGCCGAAACGTCAAGCCGTGAGTACAATAAACTTCGCGTTACCATATGACCCATGTCTTACTATTTCAATCTTAATTAGTTTTAATCTATTTTAGGACATCCAAAGATTAAACTATTCGTAACCCAGTGTGGGCTTCAGTCCACGGATGAAGCCATCACAGCTGGTGTTCCTCTTCTTGGAATGCCAGTATTTGGAGACCAGGAATTCAATGCTGAACAGTATTTACATTACGGCATTGGCGTCAGAGTTGATTTGGAAACCGTAACTGAAGACAAACTAAATGAAGGGATCAATAAGATTCTGAAAGATGATTCGTAAGTATCAGAAGTGTCTCTTGATTACACAATGTAAACAATAGTATCTCTAATTTGATAATAAATCATACTCCGATAAGAATAGAGTGGGTAGCCATTTACTATGATAACGCACGATGGCCTTGTGGTTAGAAACCTAAGGACCTGACTATCTAAAAAGTCTAAGTACCTAATTATGAATCTAAAATATTTCAAAACTAGTTTATTAATTGAAGAACCGATACTTTTCCTGGAGTATATAATATAGGCCCCTAACCCAAGGCAGCATCTTGTTTTTTTATTTATAAGGTTTTTATTATATTTTTTTATTTTGGAAATCCTGAAAAAAAAAATTTGTCTAATGAATAATTATTATTTACAGCTACCGTAACAACATAGTGCGCCTTCGCACCATAATGCGCGATCAACCTCAGACTCCACTAGAGCGCGCGGTCTGGTGGACAGAGTACACCATACGTCACTCTGGAGCACGTCACTTGCGAACACCTGCAGCGAACATCTCTTTGGCAGAATACTATGAGTTAGAATTAGTAATAACTGTGTTATTTGTTGTAGGACTAGCACTAGGCGTAGTTATAGGAGTGCTAAGGTATACTTATGTGAAGTTATTCAGAGTTACGCTTAAAGTTAAGAAGAATTGATGTGTGTAATTGTTTTTTTTTTGTTCAAATGTTTCCTCGGAACTTGAAAATACTAAAATTGAACATGTTGTTCATTATAAATGGTTCAGATTATTTCGATACCTTCAGGTTCACTTGTCGTATAAACCAAAACCCTACTTTTCAGGAGAGCCAAAAAACGATTTTTTTTTTTAATAAAAAATTCGTAACTTTTTTATTTGAGAAGTTATAAAAAAATGTCCAAGAGAAAACATTTTTCAATTTTTGCGATGAAAAAGTCTAAATATTTAAAAAATGGGCATCTTCAGTAGTTTTAAAGTTAGCTTGGAGTTACGTCGTTGAAAAAGGCACTCGGTGGTTTATACGACCCATTATATTTGACCTAAAAATAACTCTTTACGTCGTATTTGAATTTTTTGTAAACACGAGACTGAAATTGATGGCTTAAAGACCATTAGATGTATTTTTTTTGGTTTATATACCCATTGATAAAGTGATTTATTCAAATGTATTATTAAAACTATGTATGTAAATAATGTATTGTTTAGTATTTCCAGGCTTTTGTTGTTTAGAGAATTTGCACAAAGATATTTAACAGTGTAAAAACTATATTTGGTTGAGGTAGAAATAATAAATTTGCTTGCATACGAAAAATAACATTTTTTTTACATTTTGCAGGAAAATTATGGCAAAACAAATAATATTTCTAATAATTCTAAACAAAACTAATCACCATAAATTTTGAACAAAAAAATACAATTACAGCAAAACATTAAGACAGCTTTCCTGGTTCTCTGATTCTGATTTCGTTTGGTTATGATACATTTTGCATGAAGAGAAGAGCCCCAGTATGCTCAGGAGAAGGATTTGTAATTTTTTGAGAATTTCTCTAAGGAATTTGTATCTTTACAAGAAACCCAAATTTAAATTACAGCTAAAAGTAACCACTACTGGCAACAATTAAAAGTTGGAGTACTTGTAAAGTAATAAACTATTACAGAGCATCTCAAAAGGGTATAAAATGAGCACACTATGGCTTATTTTCTTTGTTTAAAAGTCTTGAATTCATCACATTTAGTCCGTCAAACAGATAATTAGAAAATATGAGACTCATATTTTTTATTTTCTTTCATAATTTAATAATATCAGTGCTACATCGAATTGAAATGGCGCGATACGTCACGCTTGAGTAGAATTTTTACTAAAAAGTGACGTCGCGCGACATTTCAACTCAATATAATACAGTAATTCTTCGATTATGGGAAAAAATTAAAGTATGAGTCTAAATTTTCTAATTCTCTGTCTGACGGACTAAATAGAGTTTCGATTTCATGACCCGGTCATCATTACTATTCACGGATGTACTGAAAGCAACCTATCTAGTTATTATCTTCAAAAGTAGAAACAATCAACTTTCTTTAACTTTATAAATAAGAAAAACTTACTTACTGTACATACATACATATGTGATGTAATAAATAAATAAATATGAATATGAAACAGATAATTACCATATTGAATACGTGGACTAACGACGTTGAATCTGGACATAAAACGCCATGTCTTAAGGCGTAAAAACCATTTTCAATTACGAGACAGTTTTACGTCCTGGCTTAAAAAAATGTATGGTTGATACATCTTAGCAAAAATACCAAAAACAAGTGTTCGGTTTTTACACTGTTTATAAGGTATTTATTTATCTTTTACGCTATAGTTTTTTGGGGCGTATAAACATTTTTTTAGCGAATTTCAATATTTCGAATATACAGCTCGATAGAGAAAAAAATTCTGATTAAAATGGTATATATAACTCGATTTGGCCAAAATGGTTTATACGACAATTGAACCTGAAGGTGTCGATTTATTAAATGAGACTGTAATGCCCGAATTAACCATCAATCCTTATTTTTAACTGACTCATATCTATGGTAAAACAAAAGAAATTTTGTTTTTATGGGGTCAAATAAAAATTAGGGATTGATGGTGAAAACGGTCTTAAATTTCTTATCCCTTTTACCGATGTTTTAATAAAGAAAGCGTGGGCACCTTAATACTAATAAGTAAGTATTTTATATCATGTGATAGCTAATAAAATCATCTATTGTTAGAAGTAGAACAGACACAACTTTCATACACTTTAGGGGAGTAAGAAAGGATTTAAGTAGAAGTCCTTTTCAGTTATTTTACAATACAAGAAAAACCAGGTCGTTTAAGTATGTTTTATTTGCATTTTGTTATTAGTATTTTACAAAACGAATGTAAATTTATTACTCTACGTCTATTAGCAAGTGGTAAGAGGTATGCTTTAGAGGTCTCGGATTTGATTACCACTGCCTGGCTAGCAACTCTATTTTCTTAAGTCTGTCACTATAACAATAATGTTAATAGCATAACTGTATTCCGGCATTTGGAAAAAGGAAGCCATAATTCCTCTGTAGTTGAAGTTCCCTTCCACCTTCAGCCTAATCACCGGGTATGAATCAGGTATGAATGAGGGCAAGAACTTCCTCGTGGAGAATAAAAACATGTTCTGTCCAGTTATTCTCTCTAAATCTGTTCTACGTAATTTCCAATATTAATTCACTCTAAGAAAGTCAAAAACATGTAACGGAATCTCCGACTTACCACTTTAGTGGAGCGATTACAGGAAATAGTGGCACATTTTTTGTATTATTATGAATGTTCAGGAAACTTGCGCAGTTTTAATATTGTTTTGGACCTATGGAAGTTCTTTTTTTTATTTAAACATTTAAGTTGAAAATTTGATATTGTTCTACTAAAATCATAATTTTAATATTTCTAGCAAAACTTTTGTATCATGCATCAAATATAGGAAAGTGATTATTTTTTTTAAACATCAGCAAATAATAACAAATGTATCCAAAAAAAATCTGAGAAAATACGACCCAAAAAAAAAAGATAAATTTTTTTAAAGCATTTATTAGGTCATTAAACTTTAAAAATATCACAAAATTAACTACTATCTCATAAAGCAAAATCGTGGAACATACATGGGGGTGATTCAGATACGTACACGGTCACACCTCGATGTAAGGAATCTAAATTTTTCTTTAAGACTTTACATTTTTGACCACCCTGAAAAATTTCCATTTTTTTTCATGTATCTGTTTCAATCTACCGACAAATTTCATGAAACTGAAATTTATGGTTCTTTAAAAATGGCTAAATGTTTGTAAGGAAACATAGATATTCGTTTAGTAAAATACGACAATTTCATACTTATTACAAAATTAAATAATCATTTGTCATTAAAATTAGGTAGGCTACTGTAAACAATTTGGAGAACTAGTTATTGTCATTCATAGCAAACATAAAGATTTCCTCATCACACTATGTTATACTACCAGAACTATCGTGGAATCATGTCGTGTCTATTAGTCGTGTGTTTTACAAGCGTTTTGACTATTATTAGTATTTGTGAAGCTTCCAGAATATTTGCTTACTATCCAACACCGTCTATAAGTCATCAAGTAGTCTTCAGACCTCTTAGTCTAGAACTAGCTAAAAGGGGACATGAAGTAGTCGTCATAACCCCGGATCCTATATTCCCAAATGGAACTGCACCAGAAAATCTAGCAGAAATTGATGTGCATGATCTTTCATACAATACATGGAGGGAGGTGATTCGGGCAAATAAAAACAAGTTAGTATTTAACCTATCAATATTAAAATTAATGATAACATTATTGGAAGAGCAGATTAATACAGAAGCCGTCCAAAAGATACTGAAAGATCCAAGACCGTTTGATTTGATAATCGTTGAAGCGCTAGCGTTTCCTTTAGGTCTGTCTCACATACACAAAGCACCAATAATTCAATTTAGTTCGCTTGCTGGCAGTACGATATTATATCAAGTATTCGGTGCTACTACACATCCGATTCTTTATCCTACAACTTTGCATCAACGAATTTACAATCACACCTTGCGGGAGAAACTCAACGTACTCTACGACGAATACGTTTACAATGCGTTGTTTCGAGAAATAGAAGGACTTACTTCGGATGCGATGAAACGTGTGTTTGGGCCAGATGTTCCGACAGTGAGAGAATTAAGAAAGAATGTGGATATGTATTTTCTAAATGTTCATCCTTTGTGGGATTTCAATCGTCCAGTACCCCCAAATGTGGTGTACCTTGGTGGGATGCATCAGAAGCCAGCAAAAGATCTGCCAAAGGTTATTTTATAAATCACTTGTGACTGACTTGAACTAAGTTTTGAAATTTTTTGCATATTTTCTTAAATTAATTTAATCTCCATTTCAATTTTAGAGCCTACAAAATTACCTGGACTCTTCTAAAAATGAAGTTGTATACGTCAGTTTTGGTTCAAACGTCGAACCAGCATTGTTCTCGCCCGAAAAAATACAAACGCTAGTGAATGTATTCTCAAAATTGCCGTACAACATTTTATGGAAATGGAACCAAGACGAACTACCTGGACGCACTCCAAATATAAGAATTTCAAAATGGTTTCCACAATCTGATCTTCTGAGTAAGTGCTTTTGTCTTGTTCTAAAATCTGAGTAAGTAATGTTGTTAATATGAATTATAATATAGGTAAAATATATAAATCTTGACTTACCAACTTGCTTTGACCTGTAACTTCCTCAAATATAATGAAAATTTATCATTGGAGCATATTTATATAGACAAAATGTATTGTCGTAATAACAATAAATGTTAATTCTGAGTAAATTATTTTAATTTGTAAATTTCTGATACTGAAAACGTCTACTCTAAAATATTTTTTATTTATAACATATAATAGTAGTCTTTGTTTATAACTATTTTATAGGATAAAAACAATTAATGTAATTTCAATTATAAAAATACTTCATGTATTTTTAATGATACAAAAAAGTATTGTGTAATTATAATCGACAATAAATAGAAGTGTACACGTCCACGATTAGTAATAATTTATGAACCAAACCAAAAAAGCTTGTTTTATTCTATTTTTAGGACATCCAAAGATTAAACTATTCGTAACCCAGTGTGGGCTTCAGTCCACGGATGAAGCCATCACAGCTGGTGTTCCTCTTCTTGGAATGCCAGTATTTGGAGACCAGGAATTCAATGCTGAACAGTATTTACATTACGGCATTGGCGTCAGAGTTGATTTGAAAACCGTAACTGAAGACAAACTAAATGAAGGGATCAATAAGATTCTGAAAGATGATTCGTAAGTAACAGAAGTGTCTCTTGATCACACAAATGAAACAATGTAGCTCTTGTTGATAATAAAATTAAATACTCTGATAAGAATAGAGAGCCATTTACTATAATCACGTACGATGGCCTTATGGTTAGAAACGCAAGCCTCAAAAGTCTGGATTTATAAATCTTAAATATTTCAAAACTGGCATAAGGCCTTTTCCTGGAGGATTTAAAGTATTCAGGTGAACCTGAATAAATAATATTATCTAATGAATAATTATTATTTACAGCTACCGTAACAACATAGTGCGACTTCGCACCATAATGCGCGATCAACCTCAGACTCCACTAGAGCGCGCGGTCTGGTGGACAGAGTACACCATACGTCACTCTGGAGCACGTCACTTGCGAACACCTGCAGCGAACATCTCTTTGGCAGAATACTATGAGTTAGAATTAGTAATAACTGTGTTATTTGTTGTAGGACTAGCACTTGGCGTAGTTATAGGAGTGCTAAGGTATACTTATGTGAAGTTATTCAGAGTTACACTTAAAGTTAAGAAGAATTGATGTATGTAATTGTTGTTTTTTGTTCAAATGTTAAAAGTTCATTAGTTACGGTTCAAATATAAAAAGATTGATTATTCAATGAGAGGAATATAAAGGTGTTTTAATAAATACAGTGCAGTGCAGTCGGATTTTTAATTTTTTCTTGTGGTGTCCGTTTCCATTAAAGGTATCAATTTCCTTTTTTTTATGTATCTGATGTTAAGGAAGATTCACACATATCAGTGTAGTCACAGTTCAGGCTCAGTACCGGCACAGTGCGAAATATTCTTTCATACAGTTTCTATGAACGCATCCCCACTTGCGAGTGTCAGTGACGACACAGTGCTCTCGGTGTCACTGCCGACACCGGCAGTCACGGACGTATTCGTTGACGACGATATTTTTGCCGGATCACGGACGCCGCCGCGACATCAAAAACAAAATAACTTACTTCATAGTTTCTGAACAAGAATATTGAAACAGCTCTCCTTCATTTTAAAACATTCCAAATATTTCACTGACGCAACATTGTAGCACTGATATAGATGACCCACGCTGAACTGTCCCGCCAAACTCAATGACAGGGGGGCGCTACCATCGTTCAACTTTATGGTTTCCAACATGGCAAAAATCGGAACCAGCGATTCGATATTGACAGTGGCGCCCCGCTGTCAATGTCATCGATAGGACAGTTCAGTATTTTGGAACTATACTGAACCGAGCGGACACTGTGACGGAACTGTGGCCTCACTGATATTTATGTCAATCGAGCTTGAATGTTGTTTCAATCTACTGACAAATTTCATAAACTGAATTTTATGGTTCCTCAAAGATCGGAAAATAATTGTATGGAAAAATAGATTTTCGTTGAATATAAAACGGTAATTTCATACTTATTACAGAACTAGCGGCCGCCCGCGACTTCGTACGCGTGAATCCCGTTTTTCCCGCTAATTCCCGTTCCCGTGGGAATTTCGGAAATTCCTTTCTTAGTGCACCTCTACGGTACCTAAGCTACGTCCCTTCCAAATTTCAAGTGCCTACGTTTAGCCGTTTAGGCTGTGCGTTGATCTGTCAGTCAGTCAGTCAGTTTCTCCTTTTATATATTTAGATTAAATAATCATTTGTTATTTAAATTAGGCAGGCTGTTGTAAGCAATCCATAGAACGAATATTTTTTCTCATCATACTATGTTATACTGCCGTAGAACCATGTCGCGTCTATTAGTCGTGTGTTTTACAAGCGTTTTGAATATTATTAGTATTTGTGAAGCTTCCAGAATACTTGCTTACTATCCAACACCGTCTATAAGTCATCAAGTAGTCTTCAGACCTCTTAGTCTAGAACTAGCTAAAAGGGGACATGAAGTAGTCGTCATAACCCCGGATCCTATATTCCCTAACGGAACTGCACCAGAAAATCTAATAGAAATAGATGTGCATGATCTCTCATACAGGACATGGAGAAAGTCGATTCAGGAATATGCAAACAAGATGGCAAGCAGTCAATTCGCGTCAATGCTTAAATCAATGATATCATTAATGGAAGAACAGGTTAAGACAGAACCCGTGCAAAAGATACTTAAAGATCCAAGACCGTTTGATCTGATAATCGTGGAAGCGATAGCGGTATGTACTTTAGGTCTTGTCCACATATACAAGGCACCAGTAATTCAGTTTAGTTCATTAGCTAGCACTACGATACCATTGCAAATGTTTGGTGCTACTACACATCCGCTTCTTTATCCTACATTTTTTCATCATCGAATCTACAATCTCACCTTGCGAGACAAACTCAACGAACTCTACGATGAACACGTTTACAATGCGTTGTTTCCAGAAGTAGACGAATTTTGTTTGGATGTGATGAAACGTGTATTTAGCCCAGATGTTCCGACAGTGGGAGAGTTAAGAAATAATGTGGATCTGTATTTTCTAAATGTTCATCCTTTGTGGGATTTCAATCGTCCAGTGCCCCCAAATGTGGTGTACCTTGGTGGGATGCATCAGAAGCCAGCAAAAGATCTGCCAAAGGTAATTGTAAATTATTATAATATAAACATAGTTCAAGTATAGTTTCGAAACTTATTTCAAGTTAGTAACTTTATTTATGTGGCATATTTTTAAATATACGTACTATTTAATCTCAATTTCTATTTCAGGACCTACAAAATTACTTAGACTCTTCTAAAAATGGAGTCATATACGTCAGTTTTGGTTCAAACGTAGAACCAGCATTGTTCCCGCCTGAAAAAATACAAACGCTAGTGGACGTATTCTCAAAATTGCCATACGATATTTTATGGAAATGGAACCAAGACAAACTACCTGGACGCACTCCATATATTAGAATTTCAAAATGGTTTCCACAACCTGATCTTCTGAGTAAGTATTCAAAATCCAAACTTTATTTGCTAACTGTAATTTGTAATTTGGCGTAGTTCCCTAAACAATATTCATAATTATTATCATAGTCATTTAAGTTGACTTAACCAGGTCACAGGTCAAAATGACTTCGTCTTAGACCAAAGTATTGTATGTGTTTAATTCGGTGTAAATTAGAAACATCAAATCTACAAGATCAAGCCGTGAGTACAATAAACTTCGCGTTACCATATGACCCATGTCTTACTATTTCAATCTTAATTAGTTTTAATCTATTTTAGGACATCCAAAGATTAAACTATTCGTAACCCAGTGTGGGCTTCAGTCCACGGATGAAGCCATCACAGCTGGTGTTCCTCTTCTTGGAATGCCAGTATTTGGAGACCAGGAATTCAATGCTGAACAGTATTTACATTACGGCATTGGCGTCAGAGTTGATTTGGAAACCGTAACTGAAGAGAAACTAAATGAAGGGATCAATAAGATTCTAAAAGATGATTCGTAAGTATCAGAAGTGTCTCTTGATTACACAATGTAAACAATAGTATCTCTAATTGATAATAAATACTCTGATAAGAATAGAGTGGGTAGCCATTTACTATGATAACGCACGATGGCCTTGTGGTTAGAAACCTAAGGACCTGACTATCTAAAAAGTCTAAGTACCTAATTATGAATCTAAAATATTTCAAAACTACATAGTTTATGAATTGAAGAACCGATACTTTTCCTGGAGTATACAGGGTGTTAAATGGGTATATGAGCCGACACTAGCCCATGTTAACATGGTCATATAAATGGTATGGTTAAGTCAGAAAATTGATATCTTCATTTTAATTATTTTATTTTTCATACAAATCGGATTTTATAAAATTTATTTTGTATAATATAGGCCCCTAACCCAAGGCAGCATCTTGTTTTTTTATTTATAAGGTTTTTGTTTTATTTTTTTAATTAGGTAAACCTGAAAAAAATAAATATTAATTTGTCTAATGAATAATTATTATTTACAGCTACCGTAACAACATAGTGCGCCTTCGCACCATAATGCGCGATCAACCTCAGACTCCACTAGAGCGCGCGGTCTGGTGGACAGAGTACACCATACGTCACTCTGGAGCACGTCACTTGCGGACACCTGCAGCGAACATCTCTTTGGCAGAATACTATGAGTTGGAATTAGTAGTAACTGTGTTATTTGTTGTAGGACTAGCACTAGGCGTAGTTATAGGAGTGCTAAGGTATACTTATGTGAAGTTATTTAGAGTTACGCTTAAAGTAAAAAAGAATTGATGTGTGTAATTGTATTTTTTTGTTCAAATGTTAAAAGTTCATTAGTTACGGTTCAAATATAAAAAGATTGTTTATTTAATGAGAGGAAAATAAAGGTGTTTTAATAAATACAGTGCAGTGGGATTTTTAATTTTTCCTTGTGGTGTCCGTTTCCATTAAAGGTATCAATTTCCTTTTTTTTATGTATCTGATGCTTAAGGAATATTCACACATATCAGTGTAGTTACAGTTCAGGCTCAGTACCGGCACAGTGCGAAATATTCTTTCATACAGTTTCTATGAACGCATCCCCACTTGCGAGTGTCAGTGACGACACAGTGCTCTCAGTGTCAGTGCCGACACCGGCATGCAGTCACGGACGTATTCGTTGACGACGATATTTTTGCCGGATCACGGACGCCGCCGCGACATCAAAAACAAAATAACTTACTTCATAGTTTCTGAACAAGAATATTGAAACAGCTCTCCTTCATTTTAAAACATTCCAAATATTTCACTGACGCAACATTGTAGCACTGATACTGAACTGAGCGGACACTGTGACGGAACTGTGGCCTCACTGATATTTATGTGAATCGAGCTTTAATGTTGTTTCAATTTACTGACAAAGAAGAACGGTCATCTGTGACCCAGGCCCGACAGAAACGAGACATACCTCAGTTTTTTTGTCATGTCTTAATTAGTTAAATTATATATTTTTTATATTCGAAATCTATGTATAACACCAAAATATTGCCCTTTGTTTTTGTTTAGGCGTTATACAAAAACTAATACAAAATGCCTATTTATCACCAAAATTGGTAAATGTATGTACCTAAATGTCTATTACAGCTGCTATGGAATGTATCTAGGTGACCTGGAGATACAGCCGGATTATACAGGGTGGAAAAAATAATAAGTTACAAAATCCAAAAATTCAATTTTACCAGCTTCCATAATCTGTACTCTATTAATGGTACCATTTGAAAGAGCTCGTGGAGCACTTTCAGAATCAGTAACTAGTTTTTCGATATCTTGTATAGTTTAGAAATAATCGAGTGAGATCACTTATCGTTCCATATGTATAACCACCCTGTATAATCCGGTTGTATCTCTAGGTCACCTAGATACATTCCATATCAGCTGTAATAGACATTTAGGTACATACATTTACCAATTTAGGTGGTACATAAGCATTTTGTATTAGTTTTTGTATAACGCCTAAACAAAAACAAAGGGTTAATATTTTGGTGTTATACATAGATTTCGAATATAAAAAATAAATAATTTAACTAATTAAGACATGACAAAAAAACTGAGGTATGTCTCGTTTCTGTCGGGTCTGGGTTTTTTTTGTATGGGGCGTGACCGTTCTTCAAATCATGAACTGAATTTTATGGTTCCTCAAAGATCGGAAAATAATTGTATGGAAAAATAGATTTTCGTTGAATATAAAACAGTAATTTCATACTTATTACAGAATTAAA